AGAGGACCTGGGTTCGATTCCCATGGTGGCTAACAACTGTCCTAACTCCAGTTCCAGGGGATCTGACACCCTCTTCTAACCTCTGCAGGCATTACATGATACAGGTGCACTTACACATATGTACGCAAAACATACCTATAAAATTTTTTTAATTTTTAAATTTCAGAAATAAATAATTCATAAACTTTAAATTGTACATCCATTCTGAATAATATGATGATGAAATTTCCCATTTGTCCCACTCTGACTCGTCCAGGATGTGACTCACCTTTCATGCAATGGAAATACAGTATATGTCACCTGCCCTTTAGTTATTCAGTGACCATCTGGGTTGTGAGATGGGCTGTCACCATGTCACTGTGCTTATATTCAAGGGACCCTTATTTTATGCATAATGCCCCAAGCACAAGAGTAGTAATGTTGACTTTACTGCAGCATATTGGCGTATTTGACCTATTTTATTATTGGTTATTTTTATTGTTCTCTCACTGGGCCTAATCTATCAATGAAGTTTAATGCAGTTTGTATGTGTAGGGGAGAATGTGGTGACTCGGGAGCATGGGTCTGTCTGGAATGTATCTCCTACGGGTTGTGAGGTGCTTTGCATCTTGCCCATTTTTTTATATTTTATTTATCTATTTATCTATTTATTTATTTTATGTGTATGAGTGTATTGCCTACATGTATGTGAGTGCACCCATGTCATGCAATGCTGCAAAGGTCAGAAGAGGGCGTCAGATTCCCCTAGAACTGGAGTTAAGGATGCTTTGTAGCCGCCATGTGGGTGCTGGGAATCAAACCCGGGTCCTCTGCAAGAGCAGTCAGTGCTCTTAACCGCTGAGCCCTCTCTCCAGCCCTTCTTGTCCTTTTTTTTTTTTTTTCTTTTTTTGTCTTTTTGAGACAGAGTCTCCCTGTAGCCCCAGCTGGCCTGGAACTCACTATGTAGACCAGGCTGGCCTTGAACTCACAGAGATCCGCTTGCCTCTGCCTCCCAAGTGCTGGGATTAAAGGTGTACGCCACCACACCCAGCCCTCTTGTTCATTTTTTTAAAAAATATTTTATTTAATTGGGAACCAAGCGCAGGTCTTCAGGCTTGATTGCAAATGCCTTATCTGCTGAGCAGTCTTTCCCACCCTAATGGTCTTCATCCAGAGTACCATCTGTTCTCTAGGGTGTCAGCAACTGAGAAGCAGGTGAATCCTAAAATGGTTCCTATGGTAAATGGTTTCAAGAAATTGGATGCCACAGATCTCAGGTGGAGAATTTTGACATTATCATGAATATGTCTTTCACATAAACTGTGGAAAGGCTGAAAGCACAACTGGATTAAGAAATACCCCTTTCTCTGAGAAAGGATTATCTGGATTGTCTTGAGCTTCTGCAGCCTTGGTGGACAGTGAAGGAAATTGTGAAATATCCCTTAAATAAAGATTTATTCACTTTAAAAATTTTATTTATTATTTTTATTTTTGTATGTATGCATGTATTGTCATACATGTATGTAAGCACACTCATGTCATGCAATGTCCACAAGGACAGAAGAGGATGTCGGATCCCCTGGAACTGGAGTTATGGACAGTTGTTAGCCACCATGTGGGTGCTGGGATTCCGACCCGGGTCTTCTGCAAGAACAGCCAGTGTTCTTAACTGCTGAGCCATCTCTCCAGACCCTCTCTTGTCCATTTTTATAGTCCGATGCTTATCTGCTCTGTTGGGCTGTGGGATACAGGCTGCTGGGCCTGTGGCTCCTAGCACACATCAAGACAGGCACAGCGGACAAGGTCAGTAAGGGTTTGCTGAGTGAGTGAACAATATACCAAGCTCCCTGAGGGTAAAAACTGTATTCTCTCAGAATCATGAGATTTCTCCAGCCATGTTTATCCCTGAGAATGATGGGGTTTCTCTAGCCACAGAGTTCTCTGTGAGAAACAATGGCCACCACCTCAGCCTGTCTCTTCCTTCTGACCGGCCTATAATCCAGCTTCCACCATATCCTCCTCTCCAGTCCTGGCTATTGGCTCTCCAGGCCAAATCCTAAAGGCTTTGCTTCCACACAAACCACACAGGGGGCTCAGCTGCTCTGCCTTCCCCAGAGCCCCGAGGTCCTCCCAGCTCAGGGTCAAGGCAAGCCTCACCTCTTTGAAGGACCCTCTGTCACTTGGGTCTGCCCTGACTGGCTGGGTGTGCCTCAGCTGGCCTCAGTTTTCTTAGCTGAAAAGTTAAGAGGGTCACTTTGATCACTGTGGGCTCAGCTTTGTCAGCTGACTGTCAGAGCCAGCTGTAGGGAGGACTGGGGCTTTCCTATTAATATTACTACTCCTTGTGGCTCCTTGGGTCCCAGGGCTGAGGGGCTGCATGTCTCCTTGTGGCCACTAGATGGCACCCAGGGGCCACACAGCACCCTGAAGGCTGACCTCCAGAAGCATCTCACCCATGAGCCCTCAGGACCACAGGCCCCACCTCCTCTTCAGACTGGCAGAGGATGGGGCTTGGAGGTGAGGGGTGAGTTTGGGAGACCGAGGCAAACCTGAATTTGGACGTTCTAGGCCAGACCCTCCTCTTAATGAGTGACTTGGCTTTCCACTTGGTGGTGAACTTGCAGGGTCTCTGGGACCTGAGGTTCATCTCCCAGGGAACAGAAAACTGCCACTCACATGTGATGCCCTGGCCCGCTCATGGCACAGTGCTGACTTCCAGGAGCACCATCTGTCCATGTCATCAGCATGGCTTCGTAACTGCATACTGCTTCAGGGTCTCTTCTGAGGAGAATTCTGGGCAGGATGCCTGGGAATCTGGGTCTGCATTTGGCTGTCCTCTTGCTGTGTGACCTTTGGCAAATCGCTTCCCGTCTCTGGTCCTCTGCCTGGTTACAACCAGTCTCAAGAGGTTGGGAGTGTCATGGAAAAATAAGGGCTTGGGAATCAGGCAGACTTGGGTGTGAATACTGTCCATGTGGCTTCCAGCTGTGTGACCTTGGACCTCTCCGGCCTCTCTGGTAATTGTGATTATTTGTTCTAAGTCTGTCTGCTTGAATCTACTGTAAGTTTCACGAGGGGCCTGACTCAGGTCTGTGGGGTTCACCTACATAAACTCAGCTCTCAGCTTGGGGTCTGACACAGATAAGCCCTCAGCCTTGGAGATCTGGTGTGATGATGGTCATTATTGCTGCTTTGTGTACTTGGCAGGCAGTGTCCCTAGTCACCCTCAGACTTCATAGCTATTGGGTAGATGAGGAAATTGGGGGCCAGAGAACATAGGTCCTTGGCCAAGGTCACATAGTCACAAACTGACCGAGGCTGATTGAAACTGAGCTTCAAGAGAACGAGTGCTGACAGACATAGTGACTTAAGAGCAGTCTCCGAAGACATCCACATCCTAATCGGAATCATCTTTGCGCCTTACTTTATATGGCAAAGGAGCCCTGGCAGATGAAACTTTAAGACTCTCAAGACAAGGATGTGACCCGGTGGGCCCCATGGAATTGTAAGGATCCCTCCGAGAGAGGCAGAGTGTGGGAGGAAAGACGGACAGGGAAGCAGGAGAAAGTCCACACATGGGCACACAGTGAAGATGCAGCCATTCCGAAAAAGAGAAGAAAACCTGCCCTGCTGACCCCAGAAGCCAAAGTCTAGAGCTGAACTTTGTGGCTAGAACTGGAAGAGTATGATATGGACTGGGGCTCAGTTGGTTGATAGAATGCTTGCCTAGCATGCACTAGCCCTGGGTTCTATCCTCAGAACCATATAAACTGGGTGTGGCTTGTACACCTTTAATCTCAGCACTCAAGAGGTGGAGGTAGGAGGATCAGGAAGAGTTCAAGGCCATCCTCCACTACATAAGGAGTTCAAGGTTAGCCTCGGGTACATGAGACCTTGCGTCAAAAAAAAGCAAAGCAAAGTGTGTGCTATTTTACACTGCTGGGTTTGTTAGTCACTTGTTCAAGCAGCCCTAGGAAGCACTTAAGATAATGTCCAGAAAGCAAGTGGCAGCTCCTTCTGGTGCTAACCTTCATCTTCCAGCCAGGAAGGAAGGTAGAGAGGGAGGATGGTGGAGAAGGAAGACTTCTACGGTCCCCAGCTCAAAACCCCATTACATAGCCAGAGAGCCTGAGGCCAGAGAGCTGAAGGAGGGCACCACCTCCTGGCTGCTCTGGTTCCCAGCTTTGGGTAGCCTGGGCGAATCTGTTAGTTGGAGCCCATTTTCCAGGTGAGGAGACCGAGGCCTGGTTTTACCTGGGAAATGTGCCACCTTCACCCCAAGCTGATGGGGTGTAGGCAAGCTTCAAGCTCATCGAGCCTTCTTCAAAAGGCAAAGGCCTGTTCTCTCCCCTTCTGACCATGGCTCCTATTTGTCCCCAACAGGCAGGGGCCAGGCGGGTCTGGGAAAGCCAGACAGTGCGGAGCCCAGCTGTGTGGAGGATGGGAACATCTTCAGCCTGGGAAAACTCTGAGGCCTTCCTGTCCCCACCCCCCAGGCAAGCTTCAAGCTCATCGAGCCTTCTTCAAAAGGCAAAGGCCTGTTCTCTCCCCTTCTGACCATGGCTCCTATTTGTCCCCAACAGGCAGGGGCCAGGCGGGTCTGGGAAAGCCAGACAGTGCGGAGCCCAGCTGTGTGGAGGATGGGAACATCTTCAGCCTGGGAAAACTCTGAGGCCTTCCTGTCCCCACCCCCCTGGCCCTCCTAGGGCTCTGTCCCCAACAGCTGAAAGAGGTTCCCTGGAGGCAGCAGCTAGGGGAGCTGGGTTGGGAGGGGCCCAGACAGCACAGGCTTGACCTCTGACCCCCACCAACTAGCAGCAGTGGCCTGGATTAGCTGAAGCCTGGGGCTGGGCTTGACTGTGAACCCAGGATATCTGCTGGCTCACCCAGCCAGACCCCCTAGGGACACAGATGGCTCTCTATGCCCGCCCCCAGAAACCCAGACACAGCTCCACCTTGAAATACTCACCAGCGTCCTGAGTTCTCACAGCCGCCCTGCAAGGGAAGCTTGGGCTATCCCATTTCACAATCAAGAAACAGGCTCAGGGAGAAAAAGGGGTGTGTTAAGGCCCAAGTCTCATCATAGTGGCAATGCTGGGACTCTACCAACTGCACGAACACTCATGGACTGAACCTGGACCTGACGGTGGCATGTTCTGGGCCCAGCCTTGCTAAGGGACCCTGGGCCGCAGTAGAATCCATGAGCGAGCACTGTGCCGAGCACACAACAAACACCCCACCAGTCACTGGATAACCACGAACAATGCTGATCATGCACAGTATGCCAGAACCCACTGGACAGCCTCTGCTTCCAGTGCTGACATGTGGCTTTGGGGAAAAGAATATTAAGTCTACACTAGAAAGTAATAAAGAGATGGGTGCAGGGGATACAGTTTAAACAAGCTGTTCCTGAGGTGAGGTAGTGGATACCTGGGTTCTGGGGAAGGCATGTGCCTGATGGAGGGAACAGGAGGGAAGAGGGAATGCCTGGAATGTTCCAGCAACACCAAAGAACCAATATGGCCTGAGGGACATCAATTTTCACTTGAGTCAAGTGGAGACCTGAGTCAAGGTGTCCTTAGTTTGAACTAACTCCTCAAAGGTTGGGAAGGCCTTCAGAGCCTGGGTCACCCTCTGAGGGGTGGACGGGTCATATGCAGTCATTCCCCATCCATGCCCTCCCCTCTTGGAAAACCGAGAGACTGCCAAACAAAGGACGCTGGAGGCCCCTGAGCATCCATCACAGAGCCAGAGTAGAGACTGGGAGGGCCAGGGTTGTACCGAAGGCCTCTGGCTGCTTCAGGGGCTGTGCCGGCAGCAGAGTCAGTCCTCCCTCCCTCCCCGAGCAGCATCCTGCTGCAGAGCCCTAATGAACAGGACATTTTGTTCTTCTGGGCTGCATCCAGGGAGTCCCCAAGGGTGTGTTGTACATTGACCTC